GTTTTTTTACCATTAAATGTTGAAACACTAAAATCCAGCTTATCGGGTCAATTGGTTCAACTGGTTCAACAAGCAAGTCTAACACCAGATTATTATGAGTTCTATTCTAACTAATTATTTCAAAAAAATAAAAAATCCCACTTCCCCAAAAATTCCTCATGGTCAAGATGTGTCCAATAAAAGAGATAGTGGGCTTGTAAGCCTACTAAAGCAAAGACAGGGCCGCCCAATAGACTCGATCCGTTAACCCGACCCATGTCCATCCTCTTGCTAATGCAAAGTCTTCCGCTTCTCCAACTTTGAAGTCTGTTCTTCCTTTCTGTTTCTCATGTCTCGGATCCCCAACGTTTGATTTGATCCATATCCCCCCACAAAATTCTTGCCGGAAAACTTAACTGAATCGACCGGAGCTACGAAATGGCGGCGTACAGAGCAGACGACGATTACGATTACCTGTTCAAGGTGGTGCTGATCGGGGATTCGGGTGTGGGAAAATCCAATTTGTTATCTCGATTTACCAGGAACGAGTTCAGTCTCGAATCCAAGTCCACTATTGGAGTCGAATTCGCCACCCGGAGCATCCGGGTTGATGATAAGATTGTCAAGGCTCAGATTTGGGATACCGCTGGCCAGGAGAGGTATATGCAAATACCCATATCTGTTGCTGGTTTGTGTGTTTCGAATTTTGGTGATTTTGAGTTGTTTCTTAGTTGGTCTGCTCATTTGATGAACTGGGTATTTGAAATTTGTGTTTGTGAGGTCTCTTTGGCTGAGGAGACTTTTGTGGGTTGTGTTATTTTGTTGGCGGTTGAATCTGGAGGAGGATGTTATTGGGATTTTAGGGTGTTGTTGAAGTGCGGATAAAATGGCATTGTGGGTAAATTATGTTTCTTTTAGCTATTTGCATTTTGGGGTTGACTAGGTTGTCTTGTTCCCAAATATGGTTTTTGCATTAGTTACTCGAAAAGTATGCTATTTGAATCTCAGATTTGGTGTTGGCTAAAAGAAATCATTACATTTTGGTGGGCTGTAGGAGAGTCTTGAAGGCATATTAAATTCTCGTTCTTAGCAAATTTCCTTTGGAAATTGAGGATTTTTTTTTCTTTTTTCTTTTCAAGGATCTTTAGCATCTTCAGCTCTGTTAATTTTGAGGTTTTGAAGTGACAGGTGGAGTTAGTGTCTTGGTTTTTGGGCTTTTGATAAGGGAGTTGAGTATAATTTATCTTTAGAGTTCCATTGTTTTCTACAATTAGATATGAAATATGTTCCTTGAGGTTCTTAATGAAGAGATAGGTTACTCGAGTTTGTTGTCCACGCTGTTGAGAAAATATGGCAAATGATGTGGAAAAATCTTGGATTCAGATACTTTTTGGTTAGTAATATTCGAAGGTTTCTTTTTCCCCCATATTTTAGAAATAAGAAAATTAAGAAAAATACTAGATAATGCAAGAAGGTTAGTTTTAGGTGGATCACGCGGGCCTATTTGGCAACCTTAATAGAAGATTCTAAAGATTTAACTATTTATCTCGTAGTGCTGTTATTGGAGTTTTTGAATGTGGAAGTGCGAAACTAGTTCTGGTAATTGATCAAAGTTGTCTAATGGCTGTTAAATTTCTTGGTGATAGTGGAATTCAATGGGAATCTAAATATGTAAAACTGTTCCTTGTGGAAGAATATGAAACCTTGAGCTTTTATATTCATTAGTCTTGTGTGACTATTGTTGCTTATGGAATACTATTCAGGCTCCTTGCCACTTAAAGCATTAAAAAATGCTTTGCATTGCAGTGATATTACTCTTTGTTATCTATGTACTTTCAATTAGTTAAATGAATTGAGATACATGGTTTTGGATCAAAAATAAGCATGCTTTTACCATGCCAACAGAAGATAGTCAAAATTTTGAAGATAAAACTAATGCTTCCCTTGGACAGAGTAGAAGGGCAATATAACTTAATTTTCCACAAATATTATGGTCATCGATGAATGCATCATTGTAGTCTTTTCTTTGAATGTCTGAGAATTTATTTATTTTTATTTATGTTTATTTCATAGATATCGAGCAATTACAAGTGCATACTACCGGGGAGCTGTTGGTGCACTACTTGTCTATGATGTCACTCGACATGTCACATTTGAGAATGTGGAAAGATGGTTGAAGGAGCTACGAGATCATACCGATGCCAATATTGTGATTATGCTTGTTGGTAACAAAGCAGACCTGCGACATTTACGTGCTGTGTCCACTGAAGATGCTAAGAATTTTGCTGAGAGAGAGAATACCTTCTTCATGGAGACATCAGCCCTTGAGTCTATGAATGTGGAGAATGCTTTCACCGAAGTGTTGACTCAAATATATCATGTAGTCAGCCGAAAAGCACTTGATATTGGGGATGATCCTGCTGCTTTGCCTAAGGGACAAACCATCAACGTTGGGGGCAGGGATGATGTTTCAGCTGTCAAGAAAGTTGGTTGCTGCTCTGTCTAAATATGGTAGGATCAAGGGCGTCTCTGATACACTTCATTTTTCATCCATATAAGCACAAGACCTTCAAGGCCATCTTGCAGCTGCTCAAACGACCCTGAGATCACAGTCTAGAATCTGAAAGAAATGCTGCATCTCGTAAAATTTTCTTATTTGATTTGACTTAAGTTGTTTCTATTGTTTTCTTTTTCAGGTTTTTCTTTTCCTTTTTCCTCTTAAATTTTCTCCCTCCCTCGTGTAAGGTTCTGCTTCCTAGCATGGGTAGTTCTTGTTGTATCTGATTGCTCTAGGATACAGTGTTTTCAGGTTGGCATCACAGTCGTACTTCTAAACCATCTATTGGGCTCACATGTCTTCAGTAACAATATGGACAGTCACAAGTCACAACCCAAATGTGAAACATGTATCTAAAATACTGGTAGTAGAAACTTCTGGATAAAAAAAAAAGGGCTGATTTTTTAAGTTGTGGTTGTGATCACACAATATTATCTTAAAAGGAATTGATTGTGTTTTGTTTTTTTTTTTTTTTTTTTTTTTTTTTCCTGACCAGTGGGAAATTGGGGGAAGGAGAAATAGTCATAATATTGCTGCATTAACAACTTGAACCCTTGACAAAAAAGCCAAGAGCGTTAATGCACTGCCATCGCGACCAAGGCTGCAAGTGCATGTTTAGTTTAATTCTTATAAATAATTAATAATTAATAAAATAATTAATAGTTATTATTTAATAAATTAAAATATAAATATAAATAAATATTTTCATATATTATAATTAATTTTTAAAAAAATATATTATAAATGAATAAAATATTAATTAAATTACATGTAATTTGTATGGTCTTAACATTCTTATTACATGTGGCTATAACCACAGTCAACTTCTAGCCCTAAACAGCATTATGTACGGTCATGAAACATGTAATTCTACAAGGTGAGGCCTGCGAAATTTTAATAACCCTAAGCTTTACCCCCTGTTTAGTTTAAGGGAAAAAAGAATGAGGGCGAGACAATATCCTTCCACATGGTTATATGCTAAAATTATAAGGGAAAATTAAGGAAAACCACTCCCTTCCCCTCCCATCCGTTCTTTCCTCCAATTTTTGTTATCTAAATAAGAAAATTTATCCTCTTTCCCCCTCTCCCCAAACAAGCTATTAATGGCTTGGTTGTTGAAGAATATGAATCTCTAACGTTAATTTTTCAATCAAGAAAGCAAAAGCATTTTCAAATTATTTTGTGACGTCAAACGAGTGGTAAAATTTTACAGATTACAAGACCTAACCTGTGAAAACAGCTTGTCAAATCCAGTAGACAGTGCTGGGGGTAGAAAGTGAAAAAGCAAACATAAACCCATGAATGACATATTAACTGAGTTACTATTACAGTAGGAAACTGCATGATGACAAGGTATGTACAATTGTTCGATACATACAACGTCAACGAATAAATGATTATGACACTGCTGGGAGTGTTAGACCAAGTTCATGTACAAAATCCCTAGCAAAATATATCCCGATTTTGTTATGAAAAATAGAATTAGTCAAAGGACATTATGGAGTTATTTTCAACTAATTCGGCCAACACGAACCATTTAAAATATAACTTACGTAGCCAGAGCTTCAGCTTTGCAGATGGGGCATACATTCTTCACAAGCAGCCACTTCTTTAAGCAATCGGCATGATATTCATGCCCACAATCAAGAGTTCCGATCTTCTCTTGGTTTTTATACTCCTCCTGTCAGGATAACAGTAAAAATGTAATGGTTAGAAAGGATTGTTATTCAGAATGGAAATGAACAAAGAGAAATGATAATTTTAGGCTTTCGAACAAAGAAAGCCAGCAGCTCTAAGTTCATTACCTGACATATAATGCAAGAATCAGCTTCTGGGTCAACTGGTGCTTCCTCTTCCAGATTTATATATGTTGCAGCTGCTAAATAAGTTTTTGTTTTCAATTTACTTGTAACAACTTCCTCTGACAACCCAGTGTTAACTTTGCCAATCTGCTCCCCAAGTGCAAGCAGCTCCTGCAGTCATTCAACAGATTCTTGTAAAGGCTGGTAAACTTGAAAGAAATCAATGCTATACATTACTGTCCCTAGACTTACCTCGTAAGACATGTCCTCTATATCCAGGCGCATATCTCTGTGATGATCAATAATATCATCTGCATCTTCATAAAACTCTGAAAACTCTAGCAGAGCAACTCCCTATGGAAAATTAATCAAAAGATGTTAGCATATTTATGAACAGAAAAAATTATGAATACTGATAAATTTTATTCACTTCTTTCGTGAAAAAAAAAAAAAAAAGCAAGTAAAACAGAAGCAATTACATCTGGGGGTAAAACTCTCAGGTAAGGAAGGTTGCGATGTCTTTGAGATGCCTCAGGTGCAACACCCTCTCTGTGAGACTGGTAAATCCTAAGGCCACTAGGTGGCATATGTCTTGGATGCCTAGACCCTATCTCCGAACTATCCTGTGAAGGATTAATCGGGTTGTTCTGTGGGGCATAACTTGATGGAAGGCGATATGAAACTGCAGCTGCTTGTGGGTGAACATTAATGCTGTGACCTCTCACTCCTTGAATGGGAGGTGGCAATGGCTGATAGTTATGGTGCCGAAGGTTGAGGGGAGAAGAATTAATAAAGGTTGTGGAGGTCCTATGCCCTGTTTCTCTAGGACCACTGACATTACTCCCTGTAGAACAAGTTAGTCAGGACAAGATATTCATAGCCACATTCCTATCAAATCCTAAATTTCTTAATGAGAAAAACATTTCAGGAAAAGAGACACAACAAACATAACTGGCATGCCAAATAAGTGAAAGAATTAGAATGCACAAATTACCATGCATGAAAGAAATAGCTTGAGCCTGACCCCAAGACGAAGCACCTCCATCTGTCATGGCTGGCGGAAAGGACTGATTCATGTAGTTCCCTTGGAAAAAGTGGTTATGGTTATGCATTGGAACAGGATCTATTGCAGTAGCACCTAATCTGTTCCTCACACTTCTGTGAGGTCCCACCTCCCTAATTGAAGGAGCACCATTTGCCCTGTATTGGGGAAGAGTGAAAGATGCAGCATCAACTAAGCCATCAGGATGCCTTGTATTTAAAGGCATTACCGATGAACTGGGGCCTGATGGAGCATTCAAATAATGGAAATTTCCTTGGATGCCTTCTGTAGTCTTCCTCTTATATGAGTTTCTGGCACTATCCATGAAGTGACAGTTCCTTCCATATTCATCAGCAGGAATTCCAAGGGGGCAGTAGTTGCTGGAAGATGGAAGGTGGTCCACAGACCCTTGGTTCAAAGGAATACTGGATGATGGGTTTGTGATGTAAGGAAAATAGAAGCCTGATGCAGTTCCAACACCAAGATCAAGATTTAGAGGATGAGGATGATGGTGCTGAACACCAGGGTACTGGGGGATTCCATAGTACATGGAACCATCATAGGGATCGGGTAAAGAATGGGGATCAAGACTAGTTGTGTTCCCTGAAGCATCAGCTGCCATCTGGACATCAGGTGGTGGGAAGTTTGTCATGCCTCCCAAATATAAGCATTGCTCAGGATGGAGATACCCCTGACTTTGCTGATCCATTTCTAAATCAATCACCCGGCTAGTGCATGGTATATTTGTTGCAGCAAAATGTTCCTACTTCAAAAGTCATGAAATTAGGAAAAAACTGTCTATGTTCTATAACAATTACTATTGTGAACATGTAAAATCCAAAAAGAACAAATTTTCAAAATTTTTAAAAGAATATCAATAAACACTAAGCACTATTGGTTTTACTCTTAATGTTGTCTTGAACAATTCACAGGAGGACGCCATGCGCCGGAAGCTTTACTAATTGCATTCTTAGTACTCAAGTTGAAAACTTTAAACACATCTTAAACCTATAGTGGAGTGTTATCACTTATCTTTAATGGTATACAATCTTAAACCTATTGTAGATAAGCGACAACACTCTACATTTTCATTTTGCAAGCCTTTGAGTACTTTCAGTTGAAATTTATGCTACATAAAAAAAAAGGGTGGGTGGGTGAAATCCATTACAGCTATGGAACAAGATATTAGTTTCTCCAGTTCTCATGGTCTCCCCTTTAACCATGCTATGAGCAATGTTGTTGGCTTCAAATGTGATGTGCTTCAAGGATGCCTTTACTTGGAAGTCCCTTAATATCTGGGCAACAACATTAAAGATAACTGAATATTTCTGGGACTCAGTATGTGGAAGCATGGTACTATATTTTGAAATATTCAAAATTAGTAATAACTCTGTTATTGCATTTGTGATAACAAGTTATTGACTGGCAGAAAATTTATGTTTAAGCATCAATAAGACGATAACATATCACAATTGATGTTTAAATTGCTTAAGGCCCCAAAGTAGCAGCATTGGATGGTGTTAATAGGGCATAATCTTTGAATCAAGTACTCACTAATAGCCCATACAAAAAAATTTGACTGCACCAAATAAAACTTGAGATTACAACCAAAACATGATTAAGTTTTAGGAAATGCATTTATCCCAAAAGTTTTTGCAACTTTAAAACTCACCTCAAGAGACATGGACATAAAGGATTCAAATTTATGGGGAAAAAAAAAATTAACAACAACAACAACAATAGTAGTAGTAATAATATAAATATAATAAAAAATAATTCCCATAGAACTTCTTTCTGACTTACAATTGCAATCCCTGCCATAGAAAACCAACATACTCATATTCTTGTTTATCTTAAAATTTCTAAAAGTTCATTATCTCAGACAAAATTTACATAGAAAAAAATTATTATTTGCCCCTTTATCTAACAACATAACAGCAGATAACACATTAAACAAGAAATAGCAAACTTTACCTTTGAAATCCAGGGTCCTTATAATTAAACACGATTTAAAAGGATTCCCCAAAAAAAAAAAAATTTTAATAATAATAATGCTAAAACACAAGTCCTACTAAACTCAAAAAAAGGGAAAACTTTTGCGAAAAGTGGACATTTTGAAAACACCTTATTTCATGTAAAAATCTCAAATTCCTATACACTATTAAAACAACAGAATTTGGGAAAAAGGGGTAAGAAAACCCATTAATTCCTGAACCAAGAATCAGCAGAAAAGCCATGCAAGATATAAGAAAGAAAGAAAAAAAAGAGTAATCTAGTCACCGTACCGATTATGACGAACAATTTCACTGCAGCAACACGAGCCTGTGGGGAAAAAAAATCCCTGCAAAAGAAACAACACAAGGAAAAAAAAAAAAGAACCCAAATTTTGTTCAACAAAAAGGAATGTACTTTGAACAGGAATTTCGAATTCAGATAATGCAATAGAGAAAGAACCCTAGATCAAAATAGTTCTTAAGAAAAAAAAATCGAATTAAAATTTTTTAAAAAAGTACGGAAACGAAGAAGAACTCACCGATTAAGGTATACTTTGAGGAAGAAACAGAGATCGAAGATTCTGAGAGACGGATTCAGGGTTGAAAATTGGGCGAAGGAGAGGGCAGGAGAGAAAGAGAAAATCGGTATGAGAAAATAGAGGGGGAAGAATTTCTTATACGGTAGTTCTGTCCCCAGCGTTGTGGTTCCTCTGTTTTTAGCTCCCTCTCTTTTTATTTTCCTTTTTTTATTATTACTACAATATTATTTGGATTACCTTCCTTTTTATTTATATATATATTTAGTATTTATTGTAGCAAGTTTTGGTGCTGCCTGAAATATTACCTTTTTTTTTTTCCCGAACGTAGTAATTGTTTAGGTGCTTGAAACCAATTGTCAACTAAACCAATTTAATGCTTCATATTATAAATAATAATTATTATTAATTATAAATTTTAATATCGTGTACTTTTTAATATAAGGTTTGT